AGTTCTTTCACACTGCTGCTCATTGGGTTGATGGTATCCGAGGTGCGTCGACAATTTCAGTCGATTTTTTAAAAAAAATTTCATATTTGATACTTTTCGTGGACAATTTGTGATAATTTTTTCTGAAATAATTTAAAAAATGAAAAGTGTCCTTTTTTCAAGTTCTCCAATTGAAAAAATTCTTCTATTCCAAAAAATGTTCACCGGAAACTTTTATTCTATTAAAAAAAGTTGAAAACTGTTATTAATACATAATGTATTAATCTCATCCGTTGTTCCCATTCCAAATGTATCACTTTGATTCTATTTCCACAGTTCTTAATAGGGGATGTGAACGGAGCACCACCCGGGAGGAACGGTAAGATTGAAGTTTCATTTATTTATCCAGTTCAACTCTTGAATTCCATATACAAAGCACCTTGTAACAAAGATATGAGAACCTCATTTATGCTTAACTTTTCACACATATTTTAGTAAACGAAAAAGACATGGAAGGAGAGACAGCTCTGCATAAAGCTGCTTTTGCTGGTAATTTTGGACATTTAAAAAAAAAGAATGTTTTGTTCAATCTGTTTCATTGATCTATGAATATTTTTCATATTCAGGCAAAAAGAAGGAAGCTCAAAAACTAATCGCTGAAGGAGCCGACCCAAATATTGGAAATATTTTTAATGAGACAGCTCTGCATTATGCTGCTAAGAGAGGTAACGTTGAATACTTATTGTAATTGAATAAAAGATTGACCTGATTTTATCCCATCGATTGGTGTTATTGTTCAGGTCACAAGAGTGTCGCCGAACTTCTCATCAGTAAAGGAGCCAATCTTGAGAGTGAAACTAATACGAAAAACACACCTCTTCATTATGCCGCTTCCCATGGTAATGTTGAATAGTTATTTTCACAAAATGAAGAATCGGTTTGATCTTTTTCATCGATCTAAATTATTTCTAAGGTCACAAGAATGTCGCCGAGTTTCTCCTCAACAACGGCGCCAATGTTGATGTCGTG